TCTTAAATTCTGAGCTGTTACTTTACTACGGAAGAATTTAAGGGACACAACACCACTCGAACGTCACGTGTGTGGTGTTGTGACCCTTACACGCTTCCGCACATGACACTGCTATTTCACAAAAATTTAAGTCCACGTCTAGTTGTGTTAAATCATACACTACATGTATGCTTGTCCAGTATTAAACTCACCCGCCCGTACGTTCTCTTCAATTTAAATGAAGCGTTTGAAAACAAGGTCATTTATCTCATTAAAGCATGCCAAGATAAAGCAGTCAGCGTGGTTATAAATTACATTACCAAACTCCTTGTAAATGATTCACATAATTCCTGTTTGTGCTAAGTCCAGGCGAAGCTTTACGTGTATCTTCTCTATTTGACAAATTATCGCTATGCGTTTATTTGCAGATGTCAATGACGATAAAAAAGGCTGCCAACACAACAGGGATTAATACCCAGCCTCTACCTTTAAATCCAAACATCAACTGCGGCGTCTTTCAATTATGTTTCGATGGTCCTATAATGATCATCTGCACATATTCTAAGTGTATTGTCTTACTCTTTGCCGTTCTGTAATGTTGTTCAGTGGTCCATGCTACTGCACGTTGATGTCGAGCGATAACGTTGCGTGAAATGGCTTTTTTTAAGATTAAAATGATTGATAAGTAAAACCAAATAACTGCGAGTAACCCTTTTGCAAACAAGGTAACCTTAAAATTTATTTGTTTAAAAAATTTTAAGTACGTATTTCTCGGTTCTTGTAGATACACAGGTCACCTGTATCGGTAGCCAGACATGTCGTTTATTTGCATCACTGTGCTTTTTCAAGTATCCCGGGGTAATCTTAAAGGGGCACATAAACCGAGGGACGGTGCATTTATAGTTGTTTAGATGATATGAGTGGTGTCTAAAATTGTTTATCTTAAATAATCATCAACATTAAATGTATATATTATTCGTCAAAACGCAATTTATCTTTGTTTTTGCCCATTCCTCGCGTTTAGTTTTATACTTAGCAGTCTTCAAAAATGGTTTGCGCGCGCACAATTCATTCACTTTGGCAATTTATACTATATGAGGGCTTTGCTGTGGTCATTGCATCATTCGATGCAAGGTTTCTGAACGTTGAACGTCTAATTTACCTCTGTTGACATGTCATTGCCCTCTTTATTATGATCCTACTTTTATTCCCGCAAGCTTTGTGTCGTACTTTCTTCTGCTTTATATCCCTCTTATGTGCAAAATAGTTTTTTCTTCGCATCGTCCGCTGCATTTACTTGTTAATTATAGCAGTCACGTGGTACGCCTGCATACTTGGCCTTCACCGATGGAAAGTACAGGTTGAGCAGTTTTTCGACATTTCTTCCCACCCGTTCATTTATATGCTAGTATCTTAGTAACGTGACACGCAAGGGGTATTAAGATCGCGGGAAATAAATGCCATTTTTAGTATTTTATTCCTACGTACTGGGCGCGTGTTAGACGTTAAATTTGAAATAGATATTGTTTATTTGGAGTGTTTGATACTGTGAAAGTGCTGCTTTTGTGAATAAATTCAACTAAACCGCTTTTCAAATTGTTTTTTTTTTTTCATTTCAAATACCTTTTTTCTCCCATTTTATAGTTTTACAGGTCACATGTATTCTGACATGTTGTTTTATTTGCATTACCGTGTTTAAATGTATCCATCATTGCATCTGATATTCATTTCTATTGAGTTCTTATCGAGTTACACACATCCCTTATTCACTCAATCAAAAACGTACACACCTGTGCACACAGGGACAGACCCCCTTACCCACTCCCTCACATACCCCGGTATATACACCCCCTTGCTTGCTCACACATGCAAGCAGCCTGCCTTAACCACACAAACAGGCGACCCCCCAGCCCCCCCACCCCCCCCCACCACACACACACACACACTCACTCAACATTCTAACCATCACTTGATTCTGATACACAAGCTGCTATTTAGGGTATATTTACTACTAGTTAGTTATCAAGTATGGTCATATCAATAGGTTATTTTAACTGATTTAAAGGCTCAATATCGTGTAGTTGTCTGGAAGAAAATCACCTGTGACAGGTACATTTTAAATGTTGTAAACTCTCCCTCCAGCATCGTAACCGTGTGCATGAATTTATCCTGAAGAGGAAGAAAAATAGAGTTCAGGGTGTTTAACGTTCCTTGTCAACCTAGTAAACGACTAATTTTAATTTCAAATGTCAAGTTCTTATCACACAACCAACAACAAACGAATGATAAATTAATGGAAATACAGGTTATGGTGCAGCGTCGGTGGCAAAACTAAATGTATATGCTAAAAACACATCATGTTTACGCTAAAAACATACTGGAAAAGCTAAAAGCTAAAATCTCAAAACAATTTAATGTTTTTGAAGTGATTGATGCACTTTACATCCTGTTACGTTTACATTCTAGTTTTAACTATATTAAAACCGTCCAATGTGTTGTATTGTTAAATAAGACTTAGTACAAAGCGCCAGAGAAGAATTTCATCACCTGTGTTATGTTATGAAGGAAATATTGGAGGTTAAAAAAATCATTTTAGTTTTAAGCTGTTCACTGAAGAAAAAACAATACTTTAAAGATAAACAACGTTTATTATTTTATGAATTATCATAATTCTTCAATTTTTGTAAAAAAAGGTATTTGATTACAGTGAATTCTGCACGGTACATGTACATGAGTTGTACACATCATTTGTTGTAACCCTGCACAACAAGACCATGTTATACGATCATTGATCTCTATCCGGCTGAGTTGAATATGAACAGGGGATACGTTTCTGGTAGTGTTTTTCCATGCAAACACGACAGAAAAATGAAGATGGCCTCAGATTCCCAGTAAAAGAAAGTATTCAGGCTGGATCCTGTTCGACGCAGTTTACCAGGAAAGTTTAATAACCAGGCTTGAAACAATATATGACGTCAACGAAATAATTTCAGGGACAATTCTTGATAAGCCACTTCTCATTTTACAACTTTCCAGAGCGCGTTGTCGATAATTACATAATAAGAAACGCAAAAAAGCAAAANGTGAATAACTCATAGAAATATAATATATTCTGTTTTACCACAAAAACAGCAGTTATAGCTTTTATTCTGATATTTGAACTTGTCTTTAGACCACGTGACCTCCACTGATGTCTATACTCTGTTAAAATCTCTGAAGAGATTTTAACAAAAAAACAAACTTTTTAGAAAAAAAACCAGGGACTAACTTTGAATGTAAAAATGGATTCATTAACCATTGGTAAGTATGGGAAAATTGTTGTTTACTCCAGGAAAATTCATTTTTGGCCGAAACGAAGAGTTATTATTGCTTTAATAAATATGCATAAACCGATTCATATATACATTATTTCAGTTTCGAATACTTGAGCATACAAACATGTATAAACTCGTGTTAGGATGCAATATAAATAACCCGTTATAATATCAATAATAGTACTTTTACTACACACAGTTGTATTTACCTGCTTCATACGTAGCAAGTCTTCATACAACTAACATTGATGATATATATTATAAAAGCATTTTATAACTCCACGGCTATATTAAATAAGATAAAATAGTTCAATACTAATTGTCTAGCCTGATGGGTACTTGGGACAGACATTACTAATCAATATCCATTTAGACATATCATGCACATACACATTCGTCCCTAAATTGGATCTCCAGTAATTTCTTCAAACAAAACGACCTGTCAGGCTTTTTTTTTTTAACAATTCCAGATCTATATCAATATCAAAATCAAATATGAATATTGAACCAACAAGTTTGTGTTTTATAAACATATTTATATCAGCTAAATTAGAGATAAATTAAAGATAACGTCCAATATAATTGTGCTGACTCTAACTGACATGCTCAAGTAAAGTTTCCAAGTATTTCTCAAACAGACTACCGTCATCCATTGCCCCAATGATATCGTGTAAAATGACCGATAGGTGTCATTAGTAACCAGATGATATTCACGTATATTTTGGTTTGTTTTCCTTGTGGTGAGGACCGTAAGGACGGCTGTACACGGTTGGCCGCCTAATGGAGTACTGGAAATAATATAAAAACACCCGATTAGTCTTCCGCGCTTCACTTGTTCATGTAAGATGGGACTTGTCAAACACACCTACGAACATTTCGACGACAACTTGGATATCTCACATATTAAGTAACTTTGAGAATCAAAGCAAGGTGTAAATGCATAACATGAACTACCAAAATGTAGTCACTGCCTCTACATAGTCATTACATACAACATTGCTTCTATTGAAGATTTATTTATCAACTTACGTCTGTGGTAGGGTCGATATGATCGAGCCTCACTTGGAATCCTGCGTACCTGGGGTCCAAGCCGACGTCGACGTCAGGGTCGTAACCCTGAAATTATAAAGAAATGGAACTACCCGCAGTACATATTGTTTTCAGGAGTCACTATTGGTACACATACAAATAGTACACTATAACACCTACCCTGCAGACAGATACATGGTAAAAGATCACTTAAATGGTTGGCTTTTTCATACGTCCAGGTTTCCGTTTTAAGAGATATACTGACAGTTATAAATTTCTAGGGTAAATAATAGTTAAAGTTAGTGAACCGGTATACCCAATGCACATCAGTAATTTTCTTTCTAATTTTAATTTTATCGGTCGTATATTATCGATTTTATCAGAAGATGATTGTATACAATAAAATTAAAATTGCCCTTTTTAATTTTAAAATATTTCTTCAGAAGAAACTTTTTTCATTATTTCCTTTGACTTAACCGATATTGGCAAGATAATAAACTGATCCATCATTTGGAATGAATTAAACTATATAAAGTGCTGTATGACAATTGATTGCTTATTTAATGTTCCACGTTTTTTATTTATGCAAAACATGGTTTATTATAAAAATTACTTACTGTGTTTTCATGATAAAAATAATTCCCTCTGTTACGGGATCCTTTGGTTTCTACGTCGGAAGAAGAGCTTGACTGATTATCCAAATCTGACTGCTTTTCTTGACTTTCAATCTGCCCATATCTGTGCAGGGATGGTTTGAAAATCTAGTTTTTATTTTGAACTATCGAATGTTTAAAAAAATCTAGCACATTGGTATCACTGTCTTTTTAATTTCCTTTGACATTTATTTTTACATTAAGCCAGTGATAGTTTATGAAAATACATTTAATTGAAATAAATCAACTTCATACTTACTTGTTTTTCGTAGCAATGTAACTTCGCCTGAGTAGCACCACTACCGCAACCAGTACTAAAACTGTCAGGAGCAGTCCTCCCCCAACGGTGGTGGTGATTATGATGATACCAGTTTGGGTCAGGGTTTGGTTGGGTTCTGAGCAAGTTTGTCCAGTATAGGTAGTCGTCGAGATGAACGTGTGTTCAACTTTGCACCTGTAAGTTGCGAAGTTTTAATTATAGATGATGTTTATGACTACTCCCAGCTTTATGAACTTGTGTTGGCTTGATATACCTTTATCATTGGATATAATTATACTAAGCTTAAAATTAAAATACTGCATTTCGTTGTTGTAGAACATATTCTGTTTTCAAATATTGTTATTGACTGTTCTTGACTGGGGGAACGCTTGAACTGCAGTGGATACTACTATCCCTCAACCAGTTATGATGGCCTTCAGACTACACATGTTCTACACATTGATTACTTACATACACTCCGCGGTGTAGTTCGGGAAGCGCACTGCACACTGCCCATGGCCACTGCAATCTTGACCCTCACATTTCGGCTTACAGCGTATACCCTTGGTTTCTGGCACACACGAGTAATCACGAGATTGGGTTCTAAACTCGCAGATGTCGACGTCATCATAGAGTATACATGGGTCCATTAGGCTTGATTTTGCTGTGCAGTTATAGAAATGTAAATGACATTTACAAAACCCAACGTAATGCAGAGGTGCTCATGTGTGCAGTGTTGAACATGAACACTACTTTCACACAAAAGAGTACATCTAAACGCATGTTCCAGTAAACCTTAGCTACATTTGAGGTTGAATGTGGGAGTTTAAGTATGTGCAGAGTAATCAAAACGGATACTGGCACATTTATGTTGAAATAAACCATCGCATAATATTCTTATCAAGTACTAGTATAAATGACAAGACATTGCATAGGGAGTATCTGTGTCTGTCAGCCATTTTGACATTAAGTAAAAGCCCCTAATCAATTACTTCCTTAGGCAATACCGTGTACTCTGTCATGATCATTCATGTAGGTGTACATGTAACTCTTCATAAGATGAATAAATCATATATATTTACAGGTACATTAACGTCATAAATACTATTTCAAACTATGCTCTTAAAGTGCATATGTGTAACAGTATATTAGGTGTTGATGATATTAAGATTACAGGCAACATGCACTGTTTGTTATTATTCTTTTTTTATTACCAATATCATAGTACCCACCTATAGCTAATTGTGAGGCAGAGTAATTTCTGTCTGTGGTATAAGTGGTTCCATTGACTGTTATGTTTAAACTTGTGTTATGGTTCACAAGAACGTCCTCAATTGTCTTTAACGTTTTACTACTGTTTCCGTTTTGTCCCAGGAAAGTTTTGAGGGCGAATATAAGGTTGTAGTCAATGATAATGCTCCCGTACCTAAACATTTACAAGATGTTAGTAGAATGAACTGTGTGCGTTACTTTGGTTACGCGCTTGTTTTTTGATACATTGTTTTTTGAAGACAGTTGTTAATTAGTACATATTACTAACGTGATTGATTTGATGATACATACCGAAATCATAATGTCGTTTGATAACAGTTGGTGTTCTATGAATTGAATTCGGAACAGGCATTTAAGCAACCGAGTTGAAGTTAATATAATGAACAAAAAGAGTAGCAAAGTAAACTACCTGAACCCAATTATTTCCACTTCTTTTAATCCCTCTAGTCCAGACGCATTAAACTTATACAGCAACTGAAATTAACGTAAAAGATCAGATAGAGAGATTAGTAGATATACACAGCATTATCTCACTCAAACAATATATACGAAAAATAAGTGAAGAAACACATTTGTACTCGTGTTATGAGTTACCTATGACGTTGGTGTACTCGAGGAAGAAGACACATTAAAACTGCCTCAATCTCTATACCTGTTTTTCCAAATCAGCCTTTTCCTTTTCAAATGTCTCCTTTAGATCTTCTAACTCTTCGACCGGTATTCTAAATGCTAATGTTATCTTCTTATCTAATTCCTCAATTTCAGAGTTTTCTATAATAAACGAAGTATGCATTAAGGATGTCGCGTGGCACAAAACTGTCAAAAATTATACACGAATATAAACAAAACCAATGGGAAAATATTGAATGTAATGCCAGTGACATACCATAGACATTTAATCTATACAATTGCTACAGAGTAGTAGATAGATATTGGCTCACCCCTCAAGAAACCGACAGAAATTCGAACGAGATCGTAGAAAACCTTCAATAGCTTATAAGCTACCAAACTTTGGATGAGTGCGAA